GTTGCCAAACTTAGCCTAAATTAAACACTAGAACTAAAATAATAAAGACTTATGTTATATTAAGTTAAACTCATAAATTAAAACTTAGCCTAAAAATTAAAATTGAATGACTATAATATTAGAAACATAGGTTGTATTAAATATAAACTTATCTTAAATTAAAACTCAGCCCAAGAATTAAAATTAAGGAACTAAAATATTATTGGCTTATATTAAACTAGAATAATACTCGTACATTTGTAGAGGTTGTCACATTTTTACGTATGTTAAATACACATATACTATCTCATTTTTATGTATGTTAAAAATATATTCGTTTATAAAATCATATTTTTATATTGAGATGAGACAATTAATTGTTTGAGTCTTTTTTTAAATATAGAAAGAATAAAAGTATTATGAAATTATAATCTTATATATATTTCTTATTTTACTTAAAATAATTATGATATTATAAGATTTTTTTATAACAATTAAATTATAAGAAGGGATTTATTACTTACTTCAAGTATCAGTTTACACAATAATTTATATTTTACATCAAATTTTAATGATTCAATCATTAAATTCAATGTTTTTTATTGCATAGATGCCTTCAATTTTTTTTAAAATTAAAATTATTGAACACTTCATTTCATTAATTCCAAATTAATGAATAATCATAAAATTATTTTATAAGTTGATTTGAATTTATATAATGAAGTATTAAAATAATTTTAAAAAATTTAAAAACTTTGTAAACTTAATCTATACATTAAACACTTTTAGTTTAACGATATTAGATCACTAAAATTTGATATAGAATATGAGTTATTGAGTAGTGTAATTCTTGATAAAAATACTCTTAGAGTAAGTTAATCTTTCCATATATAATACACACACACATTTAAAAAAAAATAAAAAATCATATGATATTTTGTTATATAGATTCAAATTAATGCATAAAATATTTTATGATCATTCGTCAATTTGAATTAATGAAACAAAGTATAAAATATTTTTTAATTTTTTTTTAAAAATTATAAATTTAATCTATGCACTAAGAACTTTTATATAATTTAATAGTTGAATCATTAGAATTTGATATAAAATACGAACTATTGAGGAGGGTAAGTTTACAAAGACTTACTCTTGGAGTAAGTGAATCCTTCTTATTGAACGATTGACAAATGTAGCAAATTGCGTGTAATATTTTCAATTTAAGATCGTCTCCTAAAGGAACTTGTCTAATATACGACAAATGTAATTCAATACACTATGCTATAAATCAAAAGAATGAAATTAGAATTGTTGAAGTTGAGTTTTCGCATAAACAATTCTAAAGAGATAAAATAAGCAAAGGTATTAAATTTATCTTTTAGGGTTTTTATCAAACATGTGAGAAAATAAATGCATAAAATCAAATGGAAAGAACCATTGAGATTAACTTGCCAACATATTTTTTTATATTTTTGGGATAATTTTTTATAGTAAGATATCACTAAAATATGTGTATATCTACACCATGTAAAAAAATAAGTCGAGACGGATTAATCCGCTAATTTATTTTTTATTTTTTAAATATTTTTTGGGATAATTTTGTAGTATGATATCACTAAAATCATCCCAAAATATATAAAAAATAAAAAATAAGTTGACGAATTAATCTATCTTACCTAATTTTTGACATAGTGGGTCAAAGTAGATTAGTGAATTGACAAATTGAACTTGTTCCACCATCAAACCAAATCCTTTGCCACCCTTAATTGGAAGTAATTTTTCTTACTATAATAGTTAATATTAATTAATTATGGATATATTATTTTTTTGACAATGTTTGTGAGTCTTTTTTTATAAAGAAGATTATTCTATTTGGTGTACATATTTCTTGGACAACTTCCTATAACCACCTTAAATTATTATTTCTATTGTCACATCTTTCAAAAACTTCCTTTACTCAAAAATAAGTGAAAAGTAAAATGGTGTGAAGTAAGTGAAAATACATTTTCGAGAGAGAAAAAAAGAAATAAAAATCGACATTTTTGAGAGGTAAAACATAATGTTAATAAAGAATATAAAAATACTCATATATTGTAAAAATAATAAATTTTTATTGCAATTATAATATCAAAATATTACAAAATAGTATTATAAAAATGTGAAATTTGAAAATATTTCTTGAAAAAATAAGAAAGTAGATAAGTAGATAAATAAATAGAGAAAAACAAATAGGATTTTAGGCGATTTATTTTTTCTAAAAAAATTGACAAGTATACAACCTAACCTTCTTTTAATAATGGTGAATGATGATTAAAGTTATCATAAATTTAAACTTAGTAATGAAAATATTAAAAACTTAGGTTATATGAAATTAATTAAACTTAATTATCCTAAAGTAAAACTTAACCTAAAGTAAACTTAGAAACTAAGGTAGAAACTTAGGTTATGTTAGATTGGACCAAGAAGAGAGAACTTGGTTTTGCTAATTTTACCATGCCTCCTTCGTGTACTGTTTGCGCTTTTTATTTGTGATCCTTGGTTACCAAGGTAGTGAACCTTCTTCTTTTTAATTGTGAGTTTAATTTGATGCCTTTATACTTGTGTGTTTAATTACGATGCTTTATATTTAAGTTATGCACCAACCTTAAGTCTTATTTGATATTAAATATAAACGATTATTAAATTATTAATTAATTGGATTTAATCTTGAATTAATTGTCCAATTCAAAAATTTTAAAAGTTTTTTTTCTTCTAAATGTGAAGTCTAAGTTTAAATTTGATAAAATTTTAATTTAGTGCATTTCATGTCGTTCTCTTATATACAATGATATATATGAGACTTATCATCAACGTATTAACCAAATATTAAAAACATTTTCCCTTACTATAGGATAGGGTTTCTTGTTGTATAAAAAAAATGAGACTTACATGTTTGTTATATGCTTTTTATAGAGTACATATCATAGTTATTAATCAAAGTTAAATTAGTTCAAGACACGTGATTGAAAAGTATGAGAAAGTGGCACAATTTCTAGAAATAATTTGCTAAAAGAAACATTGTCGATACCTAGAGGTGGAAAATATTATTAATGTTACCCTGTGTGTTATCCATTTAAACGAGAGACAATTAGAAAATAAACTTATACGGGAATATCTTTTCTATGATGGATTTTTTAAGACTTATATAATTAAATTGGATATGACATGATGAATAGTTAAACATATTAATTAAGCAATTAAGCAAATCTTGAACGCAAAAATCAACATGGGTTGTTTTGTGCATGATTTATGAAAAGACTTATTTCAAATTTTCTTCTTATTTTTTTATTTATTTTTTATTTTTAGAAGTGCTTATATATGAGTTAAATTTTTTTTAAAAAAAATTAACAAAAAATAACTTCTACAAACTACATAAACTAATTTTAATTTATATAAAAATTATTTGATTTATCTTTTTAAAAATGTTTCTGAATAGATTTACTCAAATAAACACGATGTATAACATGTAGTGAGATAATGCTAAATTTTTTTGTTGCCTAATCATATATTCGAATCATCCCTCTACTTCTGTGACTCCACCCAACCTCCTGAAGAACATCCACCACAAATATGGCAGCATATATATACATACTAAGCTTCCCAAACAGTGACGGTCTTCCCAAACACCTTACATTTTCCACGCCTGGGATCTTTTTCATTTTGTAACCTTCTCTTCATTTTCATTCTAGGGTTGTGCAAATTGCCATCAAAATGAAATATTATTGGTGCATGTGGGGTACGTTGTCTTTTGGGTAGGGTCTTCGTATCTTTTTCTCATGTGGTCCATTAATGTGAATTTGCGATTAATTGAAGGGTCACTTGGCATATTTCAAAACCACATAACAAACCAAAGAAAATAATAACAAGCCTACAGCCTGCGGTCTCAATGTCTCATTCCATTACGTAAATAAATCAACTAGCCAAAGACTTTCTTCATATATATCAGATCGTTGTGGTTCTTATCTCTTTTGTGTCATGTGCTTCATTACTTTCTAATGGTGGGACAATAATTTAAGCCTAGAAGCTGAGAAATTTCAAAGTCATCTTTATCACGACAAAGTTTTAAGCTCTGTAAATAGACTTCAAAAAGGAAAGGTGGCAGAAAGGAAGAAGAATTTACTTCCATCCAAGGATATTGGAATGTCAGAATTCAAATAATCTGAGCCATTTCATTAGTGTTGAAAACTGTCACATTGAGTGCATTTTTTAAGCTAAACGAGTCATGATTGGCTGCTATTCTTAGAGAAAATACAATAATTGAAAATTATATGTTAGTAAAATCTCTTTAACACATACATACTGTGATATCTTATCGGATCACCGTTAAACTATTATGTTTATTGGTGTGAAATGTATTACTAGAATTTACAGAAAAAAAATATTAGTACAATTTCGTGTTTCATTTCATGATTTTAATTAATAATAAAAAAAATGTTTTAAGAAAGAATTACTCACCCCACTCGTACTTATATTTTCAGATAGTAAATTAATGCTATTTTCTGATAAAAAATGGAAGAGAGAATAACAAAATTTGAACCTCTATTTTACTTTTTAATTACTATTACTAATAAAAATGGGACTAATTAAGACTAAAGTCTGTGTAAAACCATATCACAAGTGCGTCTGACTTTTTAATTATAATTAAAATTAGAGATTCACTTATGTTAGTCGCGTAGTAAAAATTAGTACTAAATGTTAACAATTGCTAAAGTGAAATTCTAATTCTAATTAAAAAATAACACAAAATATTTTATAAAATTACATCTAAATTTTGAAAGAGAAAAAATCTGAAGAATACTTTTTAAAGAAAAAATAATAATTACGCGGTTTACATTCCTCTCCACTCCCACGCATTCACATCAATATATGGAATCATATGAAAGACTTTTTCCTTCGAATAAAAAAAATATATAAAAGACTTTCCTTGCATGTTCTTGTCTTTGACCCGTTCAGTACTTAAAGCCTAAAAAGGCCCCCACAATATTGATTCATTATTTGCTATCAATGCCTATAACTCTTACCATTGCTTTATTCTCTAAGCCTCTAATGGTTTCTCCAATTCTTTTTCTCTTCCTTCTATTTCTTTCTCTCTTTCACCAAGTTGCCTCCAATCCTTTGCTCTTTGAAGGATTCGATGAAAACAGTGAACTCATCCGCGAAGGAGCTTCAATAATTAAAACCAGTCGTTTACTTAAGCTCACAAACAGATCAACCAACATTGTTGGCCGTGCATTCCACAACAAACCCTTCCAAATGCTTAACAACACAACTCCACTTCAGCCCTATGCTTTTTCCTTCAGCACCTCTTTTGTTTTCTCAATTGTGTCCCCAAGTTCTGGCTCTGGTGGCTTTGGCCTAGCCTTCACCATAGCACCCTCAACACAGTTTCCTGGGGCTGCGGCTGGTCATTTTCTTGGTCTTGTTAACTCAACCAATGATGGAGATTCCTCAAACCACATCTTTGCAGTTGAGTTTGACACAGTGAATGGCTACAAAGGTGATTCAGACAGCGAAGGAAACCATGTTGGGGTCAATGTAAATGGAATGGGCTCAAAGATTACTGAGCCAGCTGCATATATTGAAGAGGGCACTGATAGTGTGAAGGATGATTTTAGAATGGCCAAGGTTGATGCTGTCCAAGCTTGGATAGAATATGATGGTGAAAAGAGAACTCTGAATATAACAGTGGCTCCTTTGCCTTTACAAAAGCCTAGTAAACCACTTATAGAGAATTATGGCATTGAGCTTTATGGTGTCATGGAGGAAAACATGTTTGCTGGTTTCTCAGCATCAACAGGCCAGGAAACAAGCTCTCATTATCTCCTAGGGTGGAGTTTTGCAGTGAATGGTGTTGCCCCTTCATTGAACATTTCCAACCTTCCAAAGCCACCACCAAAGGAGATAGATCCAACCTCATTTCCTTGGGTCAAGGTTGCAATTGGCATCTTGTCAGGTCTGACTTTGAGCCTCTTGTGTATTCTTTTTCTCATGACATTTTACAAGAGATACATGGATTTTGAGGTTCTTGAAGACTGGGAGATGGATTGTCCACACAGGTTTAGGTACAAAGATCTTCACCTAGCAACAAAGGGGTTCATAGAGAGCCAGCTCATAGGAGTTGGAGGCTTTGGTGCTGTGTACAAAGGTGTCTTACCTTCCACAGGAACTGAGGTTGCTGTTAAGAGGATTGTGAGGAGCCCTTTCCATGGAATGAGAGAGTTTGCAGCTGAGATTGAAAGCCTAGGAAGGTTGAGGCACAAGAATTTGGTGAATCTTCAAGGGTGGTGCAAGAAAAAGAATGATCTACTACTAGTCTATGACTTCATCTCAAATGGTAGCCTAGATTCCATCCTATATAACCCCATTGACAATAGCTTTGTTTTGAATTGGGATCAAAGATTCAACATTCTCAAAGGCATCAGTGCTGGACTATTGTACTTGCATGAAGAGTGGGAGCAAGTGGTGATCCATAGAGACGTGAAAACTAGCAACATTTTGATAGATGGGAACCTGAATGCACGTTTAGGTGACTTTGGACTTGCGAGGCTCTATAACCATGGTCAAGTTTCACACACAACCAATGTGGTTGGCACTATAGGGTACATTGCACCAGAGTTAACTCGCACAGGGAAGGCTTCTACAAGAACTGATGTGTATGCATTTGGTGTTGTGCTCCTTGAAGTGGCCGCAGGGAAGAGGCCAGTTGATTCAGATCAGTTTTTCTTGGTGGAGTGGGTTATTGAGAATTACCATCTTGGTCAAATTCTTGAGGTGGTTGATCCTAAGATGAATTCAGTTTATGATGAGGAAGAGGTTGAGTTGGTTCTGAAGTTGGGTCTATTGTGCACTCAACATAGAGCAGATTATAGACCTACCATGAAACAAGTTACGAGATACCTGAACTTTGATGACCCTCTCCCTGAGATCGGTGATTGGGGAGATGGTGTTTCTAATGCTAGCAGCAGAATGAGTTCAGGTTTCTTGGAAGTCACGTCATCTATGAGAACTGTTGCAACATCAGGGTATTTATCATCCATTAGCATGAGTACCAAGTCCATAGATGCTGGTAGATAGCAAATAATATTATTGTAGAGTAGACAAAATGAAAGCAAATTAATATTGTTTGATTACAAGTTATAGAAGTTTTTTTTTTTATTTTAAATCTTTTCTATTAAAGAGAAGATCTTAAAAGTGTTTTTCTATTAAACATTTTCTATTTTCGCTGGAATCTCTCTAAATATATGGTAGTTCTTGTATACAATATATTATTTCATTTGTCAACAATATATATCTGAGAACTTGTTTAAGGAATTGAATCCAATATTATTAATACTTTATTGGTCTTTATTTTACAATATTAGATTTGCTTCCCTTAATCCATTAGAACGTTATGTTACTAGGGGTGGAAATGAACTAGTTTCGGTTTTATTTTAAATTAAATATAGTCCACACAGTGCCATAAACTTGTACGTTTATTTATTTTTTAAAATGCAAATATACCGTTTTTCAATCATAAAAGAGACCATAGCCTATAATCCGAAGTGAAGAGAGGATTAATTAGCGTGTCAAGTAAATATTATTATATAAAGATACTTTTGCTAAAGAATCAGCTACCTTGTTACCTGCATGCTTTTGTTGCTTTATAAACAAGAGAAATACTTGCAATTGTGTCGTTAAATTACAAAAAACCACAATTTATTTGGTAATTTTTAGAGAGACGATTTAGATGAAATGTAAAATGTATAGAATATGTAATTTTAACAATTTTTTCAATTAATAATAAAGAGAATATTAAAGGTTTTGATCCTCTGATAAACAAAAGGCAATAGTTTGTGACTATCCACGGTCTTCAACAATTTTGTGTGGAAGTAGTTCGGTGAATGTTTGTGTACGTTGTGCCATAAACTTGTAAGTTTAACAATTAAGAAAGTACTAAAAAATACTTAAAAAAATACACGTCGGAGATCCTATGTCCATTATTCATATGAGAAATAAGTGTTGGAGTTTTTAAGACTATTTTTATATCGACAAGATAGTATATATAAGTGTGATTTAAACTCATAATCTAAAATAATAATATCAAAGTTTTTTTATGAGTTAGATTTAAACTCATATTTTAAAAATAATAAAGAAATAAGAATAGAAAAGAATTTGCAATTTTAAGATAAATATATATAATTTGGTCGTGATATATCATCGTAAGGAAATTTCTTATTGCAATTTGGTTAACAATTTTATTCAATTATTATTTTTGCAATTTTTTAATTTATAAGTTAAGGAAGCCATTACTATATATAGACGTAAGTATATAACTAAGAAAATTTCTGTTAATCTACTGTGAAGACTTTGTCCTTATTTGAAGATGAGAAACAAGTAGCAACTGATTTGATGGCTTTTATGGTGCAAGACATTTTGACGTTGTTGTTAATTACTTAACTAATCTTGTCTTATAGTTATGCCATCAGAGAAAACTCAATTAAAGAAAATGAAAGTGTCAAAAAGTGATAAAATAATAAATAATTAATTACATAACAGATACATTGAGTCAAGTACTAATTGGACAAGAACTATATATAATATTCAACTCTGTATATATTCATGAGTTTTTTTTTTTTGAATAAGTATTATTCATATCTAAAGTCAGACAGACTTAATGGATAAAGACTATATTCATTATGCAGGTACCATTCAATTGCCGTTAATAGTACGAGTTCTGGCTGGATTAATTGCAGTTTGACATTGTTCTTCTATTAATTGAATTCATGAATATTGTGATGTAGCAAAGCTTTCATGTAGATCCTCCAATAAAGATAGGATTCTTTCTCAAGTGTAGGCACGTGTACTACAGTGTGTTGATAGAATTATTTCAGACTGTTAGTATGTAACGATCCCCGGCCCCATCGTTGTATTTGACGAAATTGACCACTAACAGTGAAAATAATTACCACAACTTAATATTAACATAGATATCCTGAAATCACAATAACAATATATACATGTATGTAATAAAAGTTGTATTACCATTAAAAATACTATGCAATATATATATATATATATATATATATATATATATATATATTTATATGCATCGAAAATAAAAATATATTATTAATAATATTATACGTGACAATAATGAAAGATTTTTACCGATAATATTTACTAAGACATACATAATTATAACTTTTTATATCTCACATACGATTCTAATATTTACATTATATATTATCCTTAAAATATTTACAATACGAGCCTATTTACATACCATAGTTTTTTTTTCTTCTATAAAATTTACATAGGTGGTTGAAATAAATTTACAATAGGATTCACATGATTTGCTGGAGGTAAGTAAAAAGTAACAACTATGGGCCCATCTATCACAGTTGGAATTTCTTGATTTGGAGAAAAGGTGAATGAAGACACAGCTATTCCATTAAAAGTAACTGAGTTGGCTAGAGCATCAACACTCCATGTTGTGCCAGAGAAGACTACAAAAATTATTGAGGGAAAAAGAGCGGGAATTGCTGGAACATCCATCTATATTTATTTAATTATTTTTATGATTATATTACACAAGAAACACAAGGAGTGAGAACAATTTTCAAATAAATATTAATAATTTCATACGTAACCATAGTTAATACTAGAAAATATATATACATAAAAATTTGAATTACACTTGCAGTGACTAGTCAGGATAAATGAGCATTATCATAATATCAACCAATAAAAGAATTTCGTTTGCCTTAACTCCTTACTCATTTAAATTCCCAAGGTTAAACCTCCAACTACAAATGAATTCAAACTTTTATTCTTATGGCCATAATATACAATTTTATTTTTTATAAATGCATGAAGAAATGACAACAAGATAAATCAAAGATATTTTAACAAACTATATTATAGTTAATCATAAAAATAATTACACTAAATAAATTTGAATATTTATATATATATATATATATATATATATATATATATATATAGTTAATTTGCTTAATTTTTGCCATTTAATTTACTTTATTTTAGCGTTCCCTCGATCTGTTGATATATTTAAATAATTAAACTACCTAAATTTATTTTTCTCCCATTTCAATTATTTATAATCTCTCATCTTTTAATTTCTACCTTATTTTCTCACACTTTGCTGTCCATTTTCATCTTTACTTTCGCGATCAACATATCAAGTTTACTATTTAAAATTTTAAAATATGTAAAATCAAATAAAAGTCATAAGTTATGATTTTCAAATGAGCATGAAACTAACTTTCAAACTAGGTTAAAAACTACAAAAGTAGGGTCACGAAGGGACGGTAAAAAAACCTAACTTAATTAAATTAGAGTTGCTACCATAATTTAATAAATAAAAAAATACAGAAAATCCAAAATAGTCTCAAACAAAAAAAAAAGAATTGTATGAAGGTCAGTAACACATAGGAAGGTGTTAAATTATATATATTTACTTTAGTGAAAGATTTTATTTATTTATTTTAATATAACCTCATTGCAGATGATAAGATAGTGTGAAATAATTATATGTGTACTCATGTGAGTCACACAACAAGAGAAGAAAGTTTAAATTACACATCAATATTATTGAGCATTGTGAGAAGATTTTAAAGAAAGATTATTTATATTATTACTTAAATATTTTAATAAGTACTTTGTTATTTTTAATATATTCCACTTTGTATAGGTTATAAGATAGTGCAAGAAACTATATATATATCTTTACAAGTTACACTACAAGTAAAAGGAGTTAATCATGTAACAATCTGTAACAGCCCAGCAACCCGCATGTGGATATTGTCCGCTTTGGCCGCAGCCCTCACGGTTTTGCTTCTACCAATGGCACGCATGCCACCCCAAAACGCGTCCACACAAGGAAGGTATCAACACCCATATATATGGCATGCTTCGTTCTCCTTCCTAACCGATGTGGGACTTCACACAATCCACCTAGTCGTCGCACAACAACAACACCCCGCAGAATAGAGTATGCATATATATATCAAAATAAAATATATACACATAGGTTTAGCTTAGGACTCAACAAGTCAATATACAAAAACATCAGCCTAACTACACTAGGTAGCCAAAAACAACAAAAATATTTGCTCTATCTGTCAGTTGCAGACCTGCTACTATACTCCAGCCTATCCCTGCTCTGCTCCCATACATAGTATGATCATTACAGTCCAATCCACATGGAAACAGATAAGGGTAAGCTAGTGAAAAGAATCATCATATATATATATATATATATAGGAATTACAAACAGCTTCAACTTATCAACATATCATCAAATTCAACAATGTTGACACACAACACATAACAACATACATCTACATCTCAGCTTCACAACACACTACACATATACATCTCACATCATTCGGCAAAAATCAACATCAAACAGTTCATGCGTCGTCATGCATTTCATCTAGATTTGGTCGCTTGTAAGCGGTATAGCTCGACCTGGCCCCTATACCATGGTCGTTTTGTACACGTGTGCCTCGACCTTGCCCACACACAGGACCAACTAAGTACTTAGAGGAGAACAACACAGTGACCACTCCAAGGGACAGTTTCTCAGGGAGAATTTTCAACAAATTGGGCTCTAAGAGCACCACAACTTTCTCAATCCACACAAAGGGATGAGTAATTTCGAAAAACATTTCCTCTAGTCTTAGTGATCAACATCTCAGCCTTACGACCTACACAGATCAGCCTTACAGCCTACAACAGCTTAGCCTTACGGCTTACACAGCTCAGCCTTACGGCCTACAACAACTCAGCCTTACGGCCTACACAGCTCAGCCTTACGGCCTACAACAGCTCAGCCTTACGGCCTACAATAGCTCAGCCTTACAGCCTACACAGCTCAGCCTTACGGTCTACAACAGCTCAGCCTTACGGCCTACAATAATTTATATTCACAACACAGCTCAAAATCAACATTCAGCACATCACAACATAATAACATTAACAACTTAGACAACATACAACTCAGCTCGGCTCAACAACATTAATCAGCATAAGCATCATACAGCACAACTCAACGTTACATCATTAACAACATAAACAACATACAACACCGCTCAACTTTTTATCATACGACATTAACAACATTAATCAGCATAAACAACATTCGACATAGCTCAGCTTAACAACAATAACAACTCAAACAACATACAACACAACCTAGCTTAATAGCAATAACAGCTCAAACAACATACAGCACAACTCAGCTTAATAGCAATAACAACTCAAACAACATACAACAC